AAAAAAAAAAAAAGAAAGAAACCTGTGTAACCTAACTTCACAAATATTTTCTTCTTTTTTCTTGTAGAAGTTTTACACTTGTAGGTTTTTCATTTATGTCTGTGACCCATTTGGAGTTAATTTTTGTGTGTGATGGTAGGAATGGATTGAAGTTTGTATCCTCGGCATACGTATGAATGTGGCATGTGATGATCAAGCTGTAGACGACCATAACATAAGTTACTCTTTTAGGATTTTCAGAGGTAGCCCACTTTTACTCATGTCTTCATGGAGGCACAAATCAGTGTGAAAATGTACTTAAAACTTTCAGCTTTTTTATTTTACAAGAAGAACCTTGAGTTTATTTCAGGCTGACAGAGCTGTTCTTGCCAAAAATGTGCAGCACTGCCTCGCAGAGGCAGGGTAGTGTTTGGAGGCCGAGTGCTGCTGACAACTTCCCACCTTGGGCGCCTCTGGGGGCCACCCTGTGGAACATGTGCCACCCATCTCATTATTATTTTGAGACGAGGTCTTGCTCTGTCGCCCAGGCTGCAGTGCAGTGGTGCAGTCACACCTCACTGCGCCTTCAACTTTCCAGGCTCGAGCAATGCTCGCCCCTCAGCCTCCCGAGTAGCTGGGATTACAGGTGCACACCACCACACCCGGCTAATTTTTCTATTTTTTGGAGAGTTGGGTCTCACTGTGTTGCCTAGACTGGTCCCAAACTCCTGGGCTTAAGTGATCCTCCTGCCTCAGCCTCCCAAAGTGCTGGGATATTATAGCCGTGAGCTACCATGCCCAGCTTGTCACCCATCTTCTTGAACATCTCTCCTTTCTCATAGGGAGGTAAGGCCTGTGTTGTCCCTTTTCCAAGACTGCTCTCAAATTGTTCTGTAATCTAGAAGCAGGGACAGGCAGGTAGCAACTGCAGCTGCCCAAATGGCCTGCCTTGTTTAGAGGGGCATCTGCTGACGGGTGCCAGGCAGTTGTTGGGTGCCAGACTGTTGGCGCACCAGTGCCAGATCTTCTGGTCTTGTAGGAGAAGCTGTGAAATTGGTGAATGAAAAATACAAGGCAGCCAGGCACGGTGGTTCATGCCTGTAATCCTAGCACTTTGGGATGCCAAGGTGGGCAGATCACTTGAGGCCAGAAATTCAAGACCAGCCTGGCCAATATGGTGAGACCCCGTCTCTACTAAAAATACAAAAATTAGCCAAGTATAGTGGCACACACTTGTAGTCCCAGCTGTTTGGAAGACTGAGGCAGAAGAATCAGTTGAACCTGGGAGGCAGAGGTTGTAGTGAGCCAAGATCGCGCCACCGCACTCCAGCCTGGGTGACAGAGTGAGACTCTGTCTCCAAAAAAAAAGAAAAAAGAAAGTCTTTCTGATGGTCCCACAAGTGCTGTTGGCCATCTGACCTGAGTCTGGATCAGAGCTGTGTGCCCATCTTTTTCTGGGATCCTCTCTGTTTTCATGTCTTAGGTGTTTGTTTTTAAGAGATGGGGGTCTTGTGGTTTCACCCAAGGTGAAGTCCAGTGGTAGTTACAGCGTTTTTCTGCTGAGTTCAGGGGATCTTCCCAACACAGCCTCCCAAACTGTTGGGATTACAGGCATAAACCACCACACCCAGCCTCGTGTTTTGAATTTTTTAATTCCCTTTTCAGTGAGCCTATCCCTGTTTCTGATGAGCAAGCCAAAATTATCAGTATAAAAAATTTAAAAGAGAAGTTTTTCTCCCTTCCTGCTGCTTTCTCTCTGTCTCTTTCTCTTGCTTTCTCTCTTTCTCTGTGTGTGTGTGTGTGTGTGTGTGTGTGTGAGAGAGATAGGATCTCACTTTGTTGCCTAGGCTGCAGTGCAGTGGCATGAACTTGGCTCACGGCCAAGCGATCCTCCTGCCCCAGCTTCCCAAGTACCTGGAACCTTAGGCACAAGTCACCCCACCTAGATAATTTTTAAAAAATTTTTGTAGAGATGGGGTCTCACTGTATTGCCCAGGCTGGTTTGAAGTTCGTGAGCTCAAGCAATCTTCTCACCTTGACCTCCCAGAGTGTTGGGATTACAGGAGTGAGCCACTGCACCCGGCCCCTGCTGCTTTCTTGATCTGCCTTTTGGTTCTCTTGCCATCCAGTTTGTACCCAATGCTGACTTGTGGTTTCAACACTGTATATGTGGAGTTTGGCTTCCAGAGCACTTTTGTAATCCAAATGCCACGTATTTCTTAGCCCTCTTCCAATTGTAACATTAGAGGAATCTGAGAACCTTGTGATGAGATGTCTTTTGCTGAAGAATTCTATTTTTCGGAATCTGGAAATGGAGAAGGTGTCATTCATTCATTTTGTCCTCCTGAACAAAGCTGTGTATGCACACATCAAGAGTGGTGATATGGTTTGGCTGTGTCCCCACCCAAATCTCATCTTGAACTGTAGCTCCCATAATCCCCACGTGTCATTGGAGGGACCTGGTGGGAGGTAATTGAATCATGGGGGTGGATTTTTCCTGTGCTGTTCCCGTGATACTGAATAAGTCTCATGAGATCTGATGGTTTTATAAAGGGCAGTTCCCCTGCACATGCTCTCTTGCCTGCCGCTGTGTAAGGTGTGCCTTTGCTTTTCCTTTGCCTTACACCATGATTGTGAGGCCTCCCAGCCATGTGGAACTGTGAGTCCATTAAACCTCTTTCCTTTATAAATTACCCAGTCTCGGGTATTTCT